GGCTATCTGTGCTCTGCCCACCACGGGTATCGAAATCCGATTTCTAGCGTTGTAAGTCCGCAGACGTACCGCTGTGCCACTGGTGGTGGTGGTGGGGAGGTGACTATTAAAAATACAAACATCTTCAACCAAAGCGCTAAAGACAAGGAAAAAGTTGCCCGTAATGAAGATATTAATAAACCAGATATAAATAATACGAAATAATATTAGAGAAGGCCCGGTATGGCCAGGTGGTTAAAGCACTCGACTCGCAATCTGAGGGTCCCGGGTTCGAATCCCCGTCATACCAAACATGCTCGCCCTTTCAGCCGTGGGGGCGTTATAATGTGACGGTCAATCCCACTATTCGTTGGTAAAAGAGTAGCCCAAGAGTTGGCGGTGGGTGGTGATGACTAGCTGCCTTCCCTCTAGTCTTACACTGCTAAATTAGGGACGGCTAGCGCAGATAGCCCTCGTGTAGCTTTGAGCGAAATTCAAAAACAAACAAACAAACTATTAGAGAGAAAAAAAAACATAAACAGAAGGGAACGAACGAGGGCAAAGGAATTCATCGACATGATAGATATCAAAATCTTTGAGTGATAGAGATATCTCAGTTTAGTCTGAAAAGATAGTCTCAGATCAGGAATCTGCAACCGATAAAGCAAACCAATATACAACATTTTCAACGATGGATTAGAAAGGAGGAAAATCAAGTAATTCTTGTCTTTTTTTTTTTCATTCTTTGAATTAGACCAGTTATTTATTAGTGTGATATTTTAAGCGTTTTCCTTGTCACGGGAGAAAGCTGGTAGAAAAGGTGTCCTTGTTTAAAACCCGTGCCTACACTATGTAACCGAGGACTATCGACTGAAGTCATCAGGTCATTAGTGTATGTGAAACCCTTGCGCAGCCAGGCAGCTCGGATAAATGTCATCTTAACGTTTCACCTGTCAACCACGTGATCCTCAACACACCAGTGAGTGAACAGACATCTATGTACGCCATCTAGGCTGTGCATGCTCTAACGAAACATCGGACGTTTCAGTGCTATATATATAATAAACTTTGTTGTTTTTTTCCCCCTCTCAGCCTGATAACTGATTTTTTTTTCTTCTCAGAAGCGCGAATTTCCCGTAACTTTTTTTTTTTCTAACAAAAAGAATACTCACTATTTAAAAAGCTTCTTCATAGATTCGATAATGTCTCTAAGGTTACTATGTGAAAAGCGTTTTTTTTTATGAGCAAACACAACTTTAACGAACGAACCTCTCTCCTCCCAGGCTCTTACAAAATAATTTATAATTGTAAATTAAGTCTTTGCCCTGAATTATTCTATCGGCCAATATTAATTGTTGCTGTACAGTTTACAAGAATTTGTTCGAACACCCAAATCACTTCTCCTTTGATTATAAAAAAAAAGAACATTCAGCCGTACAAGTTTTGGAGATATCTAAAATGTGTAATTTATTCAGCCGTTCAAGTTTTGGAGATATCTAAAATGTGTAATTTATTCAGCCGTACAAGTTTTGGAGATATCTGAAATGTGTAATTTATTCAGCCGTACAAGTTTTGGAGATATCTAAAATGTGTAATTTATTCAGCCGTACAAGTTTTGAAGATATCTAAAATGTGTAATTTATTCAGCCGTACAAGTTTTGGAGATATCTGAAATGTGTAATTTATTCAGCCGTACAAGTTTTGGAGATATCTAAAATGTGTAATTTATTCAAACGTACAAGTTTTGGAGATATCTAAAATGTGTAATTTATTCAGCCGTACAAGTTTTGGAGATATCTAAAATGTGTAATTTATTCAGCCGTACAAGTTTTGGAGATATCTAAAATG